TATATACACACCACATTTTGTTAATCCACTCATGAAGGTATGGGCACATGGGTTGATTCCATATCTTTGACATTATGAATCGTGCTGAAATAAACATTCAAGCCCAAGTGCCTTTTTGATAAAATAACTTTTTTTTCTTTTGGGTAAACACCAAGTAGTGGAATTCCTGGATCAAATAGTAGGTATACTTTCAGTTCCTTGAGAAATTTCCATACTGTTTTCCACAGAGGTTGTACTAATGTGCACTCCCATAAACAGTGTACAAGTGTTCCCTTTTTTCTGCATCCAGTGCTTTTGGACTTTTAAATAAAAGTTATTCTAACTGGGGTAAGGTAATATCTCATTGTGGTTTCACATACGGAAAGCAATAAATATGATTCACCACTAAACAGAAGCAAAAACAAAGACCGTATGATCATCTCAATAGATGCAGAGAAAGGATTTGACAAAATCCAGCACCCTTTCATGATAAAAACTCTCAAAAAACTAGGCATAGAAGGAACATACTTCAAAATTGTAAAAGCCGTATATGAAAAATCCACAGCCAGTATCATGCTGAATGGGGAAAAGTTGAAAGCATTCCCCCTACGAACTGAAACAAGACAAGGGTGACCATTTTCACCACTTCTATCCAATATAGTACTGGAAGTCCTAAGCAGATCAATCAGACAAGAGAAAGAAATAAAGAGTATTCAAATCAGGAAAGAGGAGGTAAAACTCATGATATGATCTCGTATCTAGAAAATCCCAAAGACTCCACCAAGAGACTCCTGGAATTGATAAATAAATTCAGCAAAGTCTCAGGTTACAAAATCAATGCTCACAAACCAGTAGCATTTTTATACACCAATAACAATCAAGCTGAGAGTCAAATCAAAGACTCAATACCATTCACAATAGCCACAAAGAAAATAAAATACCAAGGAATATACTTAACCAAGGAGGTGAAAGATCTCTACAAGGAGAACTATGAAACGCTGAGGAAGGAAATCACAGAGGATGTAACCAAATGGAAAAACATATCATGCTCATGGATCAGCAGAATCAATATTGTTAAAATGTCCATAGTGCCCAAAGATATTTACAGATTCAACACAATCCCCATTGAAATATTAATACCACTGTCATATTTCACAGATACAGAAAAAAATGATTCTATGCTTCATTTGGAACCAAAAAAAGCCCTAATAGCTAATGTAATCTTAAGCAAAAAGAAAAAATGTGAAGTCCTCAAGTCACGAGACTTCAAACTATACTGCCATGCTATAGAAACCAAAATAGCACTGTCTTGGTACAGAAATGGAGAAATAGACCAATGGAACAGAACATAGCTCCCAGATATAGAACCATCTACCTACAACCAACTGATCTTAGATAAAGCAGGCAACAACCAACATACAGTGGGGGAAAGAAGCCCTATTCATTAAGTGGTGCTGGGAAAATTGGATAGCCACATGCAGAAAAATGAAACAGGACTCCTATCTCTCACCGCTCACAAAAATTAATTCAAAATAGATAAAAGACTTAAATGTAAGGAATGATGCCATAAAACTTCTGGAAGAAAACGTAGGAAAAACTCTTCTAGATATCAGCCTAAGTAAAGAATTTATGACTAACTAGCACTCTCAGAGGCC